TGGGATGGGAGTGTCTAGAAGTTCTGGTCCAGGACCACTGTTTTGATAAGCAATTAAAGGGGATTGATCTAGAAGTTCTGGTCCAACTAGTGGGGTAAAAATGTCAGGAAATGAACATAAAAAAAAGTTATTTCTGGGGCTAGAACTCAGGACCCTTAACACTAATGTCTTATGCACACGCTCTCTACCACTGGGGTGGCTATACATTCGGTGTTAGAAGTAAAAACATAAGCATATAACACAAAGTAAGCTCTAATGATGAGCTTGAACTCCCTTCCAATGCTAATCAGAGTATCTGCAACTTAGTCATTTCTCAACAAAAACAAAAAAATGCAAAGATAGCAGTTATAGCAGGTTTTCATCATGGTTTCAGAAACATAAAATATCAGGATTGTAAATCAGAGGCAAGTGTGAATTTGCTAATCCTAATTTTGAATCCTAATTTCCTTAGAAGTTCTGAACTGAATTTCTCTCTACTTAGGCAAAAATATATGAAATCTATGAATTTGTACAGAATCAGGGTCAGGATGTCTACATTGTATTCTTGAGAATGCAAGCCTATCAATTCCTAAGTAATGAGATAACAGTTAGAAGGAACTTACCTTGCTTCTAGAGATTGTTCTGAATTAGAATCTGGTCCTGACTGTTGTGGTGTTCTTGCCAGCTTTCTCACGTGCTCAAAAGACTGGAACAATCTCTAACCTGAGCTATGAATGGCTGGAAAATTCTAGAACATCCAAGAAGAAAAATTCTGATTTTGAAATGAAAGTTGGTGGAGATGGAATTGCAGTCTGTAAGCAAAAGTTGGGGTTGTTTCTAAATATATTTTAGAAACTGAGTGGGTAGTTTGGCCAAGAGATGTGCAAGAAAATTAGAGTTTGGGCGTGAAAAGAAACAGAAGCTTAGCAGGTTTTTGTGTTTATGTTTTTAGTTTCCAAGTTCTTTGAAATTTCAGCAAAGTTTCAAGGCTTTTTTCTCAAATTCTCCACCTCTTTACAATTGCAAATGAAGTTCAATTTATAGGCAAGGATTTAGTAGCTTGGAGAAGTCAAAAGTACAACCATCATACATTAGGCGTTGACTTGTTCTTGAAGCAAGTTTAAACAAGTATGGTTCAAGGCATAAAGTAGGGTGGTTAGCAGCTTTAGCCGTACCTAATATGAATTTGTAAGCATGAATTATGGAAAAGTACCCTCAGAAGAAAAAGTAAAGCATGGGCCCAACATAAACTTGTACAAAAGTTTACTTTTCAAGGACAGCAATGGTACATCTATGCCACATGTGGGGAAATCCTTTGGATAAAGACTCAAAAGTGGGTGTGAGCATTAAATGATGATGATATTTATCAAACCAGAAATCCTGCAATATGAGATTATGCATCATAGCTTAATTCTGGGTCAGAAGTTCAGCATCAGCGTAACTTAGAACAAATATCCAACTTCTAAATTTTTAATCTCCTTGTTCCAGCATGTTCTGAAGGAGTTCTCAGACTTTCCAGAAAGTTTGTAACACGCTTTGTAGACCCTCTTTGAATTACTATTGCAAATTCTGATTGAACCTATGTGAAAACTGGTCCAGAAGTTCTAACCAAATTATGTCTTGGAGATGCCCAGAATTTACTGAATGCTTCAGTTTCGTGGACGTGTCTTCAAGGATTTATAACTTGAAATCCCATCATTCCTAGGAGAAGTTTTGTTCTGCAATATTTTAGATCTCATTGAGATCTACAACTCTTGTGTTAGAAGTTCTTCCAGAATCAGCTTGCATCATGGTGAAAATCTGGCCAGAAGTTCTGAACTTATCATATCCTAAACACTTAGAAAGATTTATAAGTATTTAGAATTTTGACTTTTCCAAAGTAATTTTGACTTTTGATTTTCTTGATGAAACAAACTTCATATTTTAACATGTCTTGATGAAGTATCATTCTTAAAACTTGATTTTGATCAAAAGGTCAAAGTTTGACTTTTCACTGTGCGATTGACCATTTTGCCCTTGTGCCAATTCCAACTCTAAATTGATGTATTAGTGCTACAAATTTGATGTCATGAAAGATCTTGTGAGGAAATCCTTGAGAAATAAGAGGGAAAATTTTGGGGTACAACATAATGGTTTTCCAGCAACAAATCTAAGCTTTAGCTATGGTGATTTCTTTCCAATATCTTGTTCTCCATTTGCCTCTTTTCTCCAAAACTGTGTTTTCTACGTACTGACACAACTAGGCTCTCCCTAAACCCTTTTTCACTACTAGAAAAATTCGCTTTTAGTGATCGAATTGGAGGCTGAAAAAGCTTCATAATCGATCACCAGACGGTTTAGTGACCGATTTAGCGACCATTACTCTTCAGTTGAAAAAGTGCTAGTCGCTAAGCTTTTACGACGAATTTAGTGATCGAAATTTATCGACCAATTTTGTGACTGAATTTAGAGACTAATTTTAGTGACCGATTTTTATGTTTTTTTTGTAAAATAAAAATGAAAGTTGCCAATCCTAAGAATCAAACTTGTGACCTCCGCGAATTTTAACAAAGCATTACCACTATACCACTTAATATAATTTCTTATATTCTATATTTAAACATATAAACATATAACAAAGAAATAAAAATATTAAATAAAATTTAAAAAATCACTATATACATTTGATTTTATCATGCAATTTTATTATGCACGCATAAAAACTATATAATGAAAATAAAATTCACTTTGTTGCAAATATAAATATAAGATGACATTATTTTTATATAAATATATGTTTTATTGTTAAAATAATAAAAACATGAAACTTTTACTGGAAATTAAAAGAGAACTATAGATTTTTTAAAAATTGGAAGAGAAATAGTAACATCATAAAGAGGATTAAAAAAAGGGAAAAAACAAACAAAAAATTAGTGACCGAAATTTCGGTCTCTGATTGTTTCATATAAATTAAATATTATTTAAAAACATTTTTTCATGAACGAATAGGTGATCACAGAATTTTAGTCGTTAAATCGGTGGCTGATTTATTTTATTGATCAATTTAGTGACCAATTTAAAGTTGACTAATGAATATCAAATTTTGGGAGGCTAATTTGGTCACTACAGTGACCGAAATTTTTCGGTCACTAAAAATAAATTTTCTAGTAGTGTTTGTTCCAAGACCTAATTTTAATCTCTTAATCATATCATATTGGACCAACTCCTTTACTTCTCACCTCATCATCACTCTATCTCATTATTTTTAATTTTCACCCCATCACCTCTATTTTCCATTATTTTAATATTATATTAATTCTACATAATTAATTAAGTAAATAAACTATGCCCTATCAACCCTAATCATAACATATGCATATTAATTCACCAATCATAAATTAAATACATACCAAAAATTGATTTAAATAATTAACTATAACGAAAAATCAATTAAATAAATAATTTAAAGGAAACATGGTGTTACAACTCTCCCCCACTTACAAGATTTTCGCCCTCGAAAATTACTTGAAGGAAATAGAGTCATATACGAATCCCTCATGGAACTATAATGCTTTCCTCCTCTTATCATGATAACTCTTCTTGAGACTCTGTAAAGTTTTCATCTTCTCTTGAATCATCTTAATCTTTTCAGAAGTTTGCTACACAATCTCAGGCCCAAACACAACACTCTCACTTGATTCATACCAACATAAAGGAGTCCTACACCTCCTTTTATAAAATGCATCAAATTGTATCATTCAAATACTAGAATAAAAATATTTGTTGTAGGTGAACTCAATTAACGATAAGTAGGTATTCTAATTACCTCTCTACTCAAGCACACAAGCTCTCTATCAAACACGATATTCAAAGGAATACCATGTAAACTAGCAATTTTCTCAATATATAACTCGACTAACTTCTGCAAAGGATAAGTGATCTTAATCAGAATAAAGTGATCCGATTTATTATGTCTATCAATAATAACCAAGATATAATCATGTCCTTTCATAGTCTTCGGCAAACTTGTCATAAAGTTAATGGAAATGTCCCACTTCCACTCAAGAATGCTCAACGGTTGCATCAAACGCGACGACTTCTGACAAGTCAACTAGGCATAAAAAAACTCAGCCCCTTCCTTCTTTATACCAGGCCATCAAAACAAACTTTGTGAATTTAATGCAAATAATATTTCCCTTCGGTTGGGCTAACTAACTGAGGGAATAGACTAATTTAAAAATAAAAAACAAAATTAATAGAAAAATAAGCGTCATTTGAAACAATGGGATATTTAAGTATTTAATTGAACGTAATCAAACTTTTTGTTAGTAAAATAATAATTTAAATTTTTTGTGTCAAGTATTTATTTTTCATCCAACAAATATTAATTTCATAATTAAAAATAAACAAAAAAGAAAAAGACGCCAACTGAAATAATGTAACGCTTGGTCCCTAAGTCAAATGAAAAATAAACTAAAAATAGAAAATGAAATATTTAGGATTTGAAACAAGGTCTGAGATAGATCTACTCCCTCGTTTATTATTAAATTCAAGGGAATAAGTTGTATTTAAAAAAATCATTTAAGTATGGCTCAATAAATATACCTTAGTTATTTGTTGGACGAGGTAAAAGTTTTCTTCTATGTATTAATTATAGTAGTGGTTACTTTGAAACTTTCATACAAATGGTAAGTAATATAAATACATTTATGAGAAATATAATTTTAAATATTTTTTATATTTATTTGATAATTGAGAAAGCAAGAATACCATTGAAAAAAAGTAATGAATGTTATATTCAAAAGTCAAAAATTTTATTTATTTTGTAATAATTTTTTTTAAAGATAGACCAATTATTTTTTTTAAAAGAAAATATATCATTTTATATATTATATATTTTATTTTTTATTTAATTAATGTATTTAAGATATTAAAAATCAAAAACCCCATTCAATGTATTTTGTTATCATTTGCCTCTATATAACTCTATTCCAACCAATGGCTATGTACAATAACAAGAGTGAAAGGAAAAACAAATAACAATGGCTAAATTCATCTGTTCATTTCTTCTCTTGATTATTTTCACTTCAGTGGTCCAAGATGCCTACGTAAGGGATTCTATCTCTTCCTCTATTGAGAATCTTTGAGTTTATTGAAATGAATGGCAATGACTTATTATAAGCTTAAAAATTGCACATGTATTATTTGTTTTCCCCTTAAATTGTTAAGTACTAACACATGATTATTTTTCTTGATTTTTTATAGGCCGGTGGAGAAGGATCCCTTCGTTCTGAACGTAGTAATTCTAATTAGTGGTTATTTTATTATTCTTTTAAAAAAATTATTTAGATTTACTAATGTTGTTCAAATTCATTTTTTTTCTAGAATGTGTGGGCGCATGTGAATATCGTTGTTCAGCAACTATGTACAAGAAGGCATGTCTAACATATTGTAACATTTGTTGTGTAAAATGCTTATGTGTTCCATCTGGAACATATGGTCACAAGGAAGAATGTGCATGCTACAATAATTGGAAAACTCAGAGAGGAACACCTAAATGTCCCTAGTTTTTGTATTGTTCATGTATGCATAGATGTTCGTTAATGCATATTTTTGTTACTTGATTATTAATAAAAAATGTTATGTCAAAATTAATTCTTAATATTGTACACTTTGTTTTGGCCCTAAATAATTTCTAATCATAAAGTTGTAAATTAATAGCCTTCAAACCTGTTGACATCACCTGCTAATATAACTTAATTTTTTAACAGGAAGATATTATTAATAATATAGGATAAACAAAAAGGTGAAAATAACCTAAATAAAAGAAATCCAAACAGTTCATTAAATTTCTTAAACTTTTATAAATAAAGAAATGGTATGCAAACTTTGACATCCAACTAGAATACCAATTTCAAGTAACTTTTTGATTATGTCTGTAACATAATCAAAGACTCTACAAAGTTGTTGAACATATATTCCTTTCTATTTTTTCAAACTAATACTAGTCAGTTGAATTTAAAACATATTCTTTGCTTGGCTGGAAAAATCTACATGCATTATGTTTCAATATCAATTTTGAGTTACTATGGACTTCTTGCGTGAAGTGTCATTCTTGTTTTTCTGAAGATTTTTGTTTTGATATTTTTTGTTCCCTGGTACTGGGATCTAACTGTGGAATTCTTGGAGAGGAGAACCCTTATATGTTTTTTTCCTTTGGATGGTGGGATTTAGAGGAGTGATGTTATATTAAGTGATTTTTCCTTTTGGAACCTTATTTAGCCTTGGATGTAATTTTTATCTCCCTTTTTCTAGCACCTCTTAGGGTTAGATGTGTGTGGGATTTTCTCCACTTTATGGGCTATATTCACAATAGTTAGAAATAAACATAAGAACATAGTATAACACAATGGTACTCTATTTGGCATCCATTTACAACATATCATAACATATTCAAAATAGACACATGACAAAACTGAGAACTAAGGTAATCATAATTAGACATGACACATGCCACACACCATCTTTCCTTTATATCGGCCACTTGCTCGTCTTTATAAAAAGAAGAAACATGATAAGAGATAACAAATCTTAGTCAGTTCTCACTTCAACCATAATTTATTCTGAATCACGTTACCGTGTAATCTACACACATATCCTTAGGTATTTAACCCTGATACCACAAATACTCATAATCTCGATGGACACTGCACATTATCCATCCCAAACACTATAAAAATGATAATATACTATCCCATATACATATATGAGCCCACAAACCATGACCATTATGTCCTCCACAATCTAAGCCTAGTTTATGGGGTCATCAACAACTTACTACGACTCAGTGAAACTATAGTTCTATTTCCTGGGTCATACAATTGATATATGTATAGAGATATATCATCTCTAATATGCGCTCACATTAAGCTTTTATCGTTCTTTACACAATAAGACTAGGGCTATCATAAAAATACTTCCCAAAAGGTACAAATTAGTGAAGATAATATACTTTGTAGATATTCCTCTTTAATTGTTTAATTGGAACTTCCATTTATTACTTTCTATAAATACTTCCATTACCTAACCCTAAATCCTTACAAACCTCATTGATTTTCCTTAAGTTATGCCATCTAATCTCAAGTTTTACTTTATTCATTGACCATAAATCTTTTTTGACCCATTACGCCTTGTAATATGCCAGGTTCCCCTTGTACAATTCTAGGTACCCTTACGACCCAAGCGCCATGCAGGTTACAATCTATACCACTCCTAAGTTATAAAAATCATCATTTTTCTAGTATGAACTTGCATCTAGGACATTTCCTAACTCTCTTATCACCTAGACATTACAATCTAAACATAATTAAACATTATTCCAATACCATAAATTCAACATGCACCAACTAAACATTTGATAAGGGTTTTATATATTATTCAACTAACTCTTCATATCATGAGATGATCCTACTCTAACTACTCAAGTATTAAAGTGTTAAGAGAACCCACATTGAGTTGAGTTCTGAATTTTAAAGGGAAGGTTTTGGAGTTGAATTAGAATGAGATTGACCACTTGCTCATATTCTTCATCTTTCTAATTCCTCAAGTCCCATATCCACATTCAAAGCTTAATGAATTCAATCAATTAAGTTCCCTTACCCTCATTCTTTTGATCTCATGAGTTCTCCCTCTTTCCTATACCTTCAGTCCTCTCAATTTTATGAATTGTACCAAGATTAAGAATGAATTATATTCTTCATTTTATTATAGGAAGGGGATTAAAAGACTAAGATGTCCCTCCATAAAATCACTCTTTCAAGCTTTCCCCTCCCCTTGTCAAAACCTCCTTTACTCTTATTTACATGAATTTATGAGCTCTAAATTAATGGAATTTTTTTATGTTTCAAACTCACACATTTATTAGGAATATTATGAGATATTACACTCCCTCAAATAAAATTTTGTTCTCAAAACTTAAATAATTACCTTAAATAGGTTCGGGTAATTGGTTCACATATCTGATTTTACCTCCCAAGTAGCTTCTCTGGGATATGACTACTTCCAAAAAATCTTTATGAATGATATTTTCTTGCTCCTTAGATATTTCACTACATAAACCAATACTCGGTTAGGTTGTAGTAGAAAGGTAGGTTTTGCTACAACTTCAGTTGTCTCAAGTAAAATAACTGTAAATAATATAATACAAGTTTTTGGAGTTGAGAGACTATGAAAGTTCCTTTTTCAACGTCTTTCCCTTAAATGTCTTTTTCAATCCCAACTTAAGGGTAACCTTGAAAAACATTTTCCCCTTCTTCAAACTATAAAGGTATCCTCAAACGGCCCCCATAAGTATTTTCATGTTCTTGAGCTTTCTTTATCTTTTATTGAATTTCTCTTATTTTCTTGATAGTTTCTTTATTCATATCAGACCATATGATTCATTTATCTATTACCTCTTCCTAACATAAAGGTGTAAGAGACCTCCTATCATAAAAAGCTTCATATGGTGTCATCCCAATACTATTATGCTAATTATGATTGTAAACAAACTCAAATAATGGCAGATGTTGGTTCCAATTTACTCCATCTTCTAAAATACAAGCTATGAACATGTCTTCTACCATCTAGATGGTTCACTCCATATGTCCATTTGAATGTAGGTCACCTATTATATTAAGATTAAATGTGGTCCCCATTTCATGGTGAAAGTCCTTTCAAAGTCTATAATTAAACTTTAGATCTTGATCAGATACAATGTTCATTAGTACTCCATTTAGTCGTACTATATTGGAAATTAACAACCTGGCTAATTGGAGAACCTTATATGTGGTTATAATTGGTAAAAATTGAGCCAACCTGGTTAGTGTATGCATTGTCACCCAGATTTAATAATGAGGACTAGGAATACGATGTAGTCCTACTATGAAATCGATGGAAATGGAAACCATTTCCATTCCGGTGTCTCTAAAGGTTGCAACATACCATCAAGTCTTTTTTATGTTAAATATTTACCTTTTAACACACCACGCACATAACGACGAATTCTGTTATTTCTCCCTTCATTCAAGGCCACCAAAACTCTCGCTATTCATCAGTTATACAACATGCATTTCCTTTCTAATTAATGCATCTGCCACCATGGTTGTATTCTCAAGATGGTACTTGAACTCAAAATCAAAGTCTTTCATAAAGTTCATCCACCTCCTATGTCTCATATTCACACTTTTTGGTGAAACTTACACTTCAAGCTTTTATGGCCACTGGACATTTCAAAGTGTACTCCATTCAGATATTGCCTTCACAATTTAAGTGTGAAGATAATTACATGTAACTTTAAATCACAAGTAGAGCCAAAGGTAGATCTATTTTAGAAAATAACATGATTAATCTTTGGTAATAACCTGCCAGTCCAACAAAACTTCCCACTTCAGCTACATTTTTTGGGTCTTTCCAAATTAAACATAACTTCCACCTTGGAGGGAATGATAACTACCCATTCTCAGGAGATTACGAGCCCAAGAGACTTCACCTCGGACATCCAGAACTAGAATTTACTAAACTTAGAAAAGAGCTTATTTTCTTGTAAAATTAAATGTACAATCCTAAGAATCTCTATGGGCTCTTGTAGAGCCTGAAACTAAATTAGGATTTCATCGATAAATGTCACTACGAACTTGCTAAGGTACACCTGAAAAACCTAGTTCATGTAATCAATGAAAACACTAGTGAATTATTTACTATAAAATCCTTTACGAGGAACTCATATTGTACATATCGGGTCATGAAAGCTATCTTCGAGGAGTTAAAAATTTTCACCTGGATCTGGTGATATACAAAGTGCAAATCAATATTCAAGTACTCCCTCTGTTCCTTTTTAAGTGTCATTTTAGCATAAAGTTCTTCAACCAAGATAGTGGATTGTTAAAATCAGTTTTCCTATTATACCCTTATTTATTTTCTCTTTCCAAATAAATTCAATCATACACTCTCTCTTTTTTCAATAACTAATTGAGAAAATAATTAATTTTATAGAAAATGTGAAGTGGAGTTATTGAAAAAGTAAGAGTATAATTGAAAAATTATAAAATTAAACTATAACAATGACACTTAAATGGAAACAAACAAAAAATCTTCTAAAACAACACTTAAAAAGGAACATGGGTAGTATATAATAGATCCCTTTAACTAGTCAAGGAGGTCAACAATCCAACGTAATAGACATGTATTCTTAACGGTGACTTTATTAAGTTGACAATAGTCAATACACAATCTTATACCACCAACATTCTTCTTTACTAATATCATTGGAGAATCCCATGGAGATGCACTTGGTTAAATGTAGTGTTTCTCCAATAAACCTTCCAACTAAAACTTCAATTATGTTAACTCTACCTGGGACATTCTATATGGTTCAATGAAAACATCCATAGTCGAGAGGACTTAATCTATAAAAAATTCAACTTTTCTTTCAGGAGGTAGAGAAGTGATACCTTCTGAAACACATATGAAAAATATATTAGAGAGTGGATTAATTTAGCAAGGACGATGGTTGGGCCACTATAAATCT